GCTGTTTAGTTTTATCCCTTTACCCTCCCTTTACCCTTCCAAGTGTTCCTGCTCCAAAAGCCCAGACCGAGTCCCACCCAGTGGAAAATGGGGTCAATGCAAATACAGTCACCCTGCCCCAAGTGCTGCCCCTTGAAGAGGAGAGAGGAGAGGCGAGTGGTTCTGAAGCCATCGCATAAGTTGCAATCCTGTCCGGCCGTGACATAATGACAATCAGTCCATCTTGGTTGAGTCACTTGGGTTCCCCCGATGAACAATGGGATAATGGTCACAGCAAACCCTCACATAAGGGTTAAGAGTCCCTGAGTTTGGCCAGTCCTTGAAAAGTTAAGCACAGAATGACCATACGATCCAGTGATTCCACTTCTAAGTATATACCCAAGAAAGCTGAAAACAGATGTTCAATCAAACACTTGTACCCAAGTGTTCACAGTAGCATTTTTCTTTTTTTTTTAGATTTTTTTTTTTTTAAGATTTTTCATTTATTTATTTGACAGAGAGACACAGCGAGAGAGGGAACACAAGCAGGGGGAGTGGGAGAGGGAGAAGCAGGCTTCCCGCTGAGCAGGGAGCCCGACGTGGGGCTCGATCCCAGGACCCTGGGATCATGACCTGAGCCTAAGGCAGACGCTTAATGACTGAGCCACCCAGGCGCCCCAGCATTTTTCCTAATAGTCAAAAGATGGAAACAATCCAAATGTCCATCAATGGATGAATGGATATACAGATAGTAGGATAACCATACAACGGAATACTATTCCGCTATAAAAAGGAATGAAGTATTGATACAGGCTATAACATGGACAAGCCTCGAAAACATTATTTACGCTAAGTGAAGAAGTCAGTCACAAACGGTCATGCTATTGTATGAGCCCATTTATATGCAATGTCCGAAATAGGTACATCCATAGAGAAGGAATGCAGATTGGTGGTAGCCAGGGGCTGGGCGGAGCAGGGGAATCAGGGAGTGATAGCTTAATGGGCACAGGTCTTCCTTTGGGGGTGAGGAAAATGTCCTTTCCTCACCCCCAAAGGGGACACTTCCAAGTGGTTGATTTTGTTATGTGAATCATAACTCAATTTATTATTATTATTTTTTAAAGATTTATTTATTTATTTATTTGACAGAGAGAGAGAGACAGCGAGAGAGGGAACACAAGCAAGGAGAGTGTGAGAGGGAGAAGCAGGCTTCCTGCAGAGCGAGGAGCCTGATGCGGGGCTCAATCCCAGGACCCTGGGATCATGACCTGAGCCAAAGGCAGACGCTTAACGACTGAGCCACCCAGGCGCCCCTCATAACTCAATTTAAAAGTCACTGACTACGAGCTAGTTGAAGATGATCTAGGATGAAGTATTTACCGAATGGAATATGATAAACGTTTGGTAAACGGGAAAAGCCTCGAAAAGTCATTCCATGCAGTAAACACAGAACATGCCAGGAACTATGGGGCTGAGGGACCGGGGGTGGGCAAATGCCTCCTGAGGGGTGCCTGAGATAGGGTGGGGTCTTTGCCTCTTGGAGGAGGTGACACTCAAGCTGAGATCAGGCAGAGGAATAGTGACTGCAAGACCTGAGGAGGAGAACACTGGAAGGGACCAGTGGGTAGCTGGGGCCTGGGGGGCAAGGAAAAGCAGCAGAGCTCAGGAGAGGTAGCCAGGGGCCGGCTCAGAGAGGCCCCAGAAGGTGGTCTTCCAGCTTTTACTCCTGTCAGAACCTTCACTTATAGTGGTGGAAACTGAGGAAAATCATTGTCTGAACTTAGGTCTGTTCCATTCTAAACTCCCTGCTCTTAAAAATGATATAACTCAAGAGAAGCAAGAACACAGCTCAACGGATACTTGGGCAGGGTGAGGCCAGTGGGCCATGTGGACATGGAGCAGGGACAGAGAGTCCAGCTTGCGAGAGGGGAGGCAGTCAGGGAAGGCTTCCAGGAGGAAGTGATGCCGGATTGAAAGAGAAGGAGTATGCCTTATAATGGAATAAGGTAATGAATGGCACCCATGGCACAGGGAACATAAGGGGCTTCACAGGCTCTAGAAGCATCATGGGGCCAAACCATGAAAGGCATCTACTCAATTAATATTTACTGAAGGCCTACTATACACCAAGCACTGCACTAAGCATGGGGACATGATGGTGAGCCAAACAGGCCCAGCCCTTGTTCTCCTGGGGCTTATCATCTAGTAGGGAACAGGGACGTTAATAACAACAGTTAACACGTGGTGCTGTGGCAGCCAGTCTCCAGGGTGGCTCCCAGTGATCCTCTCCCCCTAAATGCCCTGACATTCACACCCTTCCATGGGTCCTTTCTACACTGAACAGGGTGACCCATGTGACCAATAAGGTATTGCAGAAATAACAAGGTGTGATCTCCAAAAGCAGATGATAAAAGACATTACGGCTTCTTCTATACTCTCTCCTGGATCACATGCTCCAGGGAAAGCCATGTCCATGGGGCACTCAAGCAGCCTCTGCAAGGTCCATATAGAGAGGCTTCCTACCAAAAGCCAATGTCAATTTGTCATCCCTATGAGCAACTCATCTTTGGAAGGGATCTGCGGCCCCAGGCAAGCTCTCAGAGGACTGCATCCCTGGCCCACATCATGAATCCAACCTCGTAAGAGACCTTGAGCAAGAACCAGATAGGTCATCCCCAAATTCCTGAGTTGCAGAAACTGTAAGATAAGAAGTGGTTATCACTGTTCTAAGTTTGCAGATAATTTGTTACACAGCATAGATAACTAATATAAGTACTTACCAAGTTTTTTTGTGTTAACTCTCTTAATCCTTACATTGACCCCCTGAAGTAGATACTATCATGACTTCCATTTAATACATAAGGAAACTGAGGCACAAAGCACTTAAGCACTTTGCCCAAAGACAAGACCAGGGCATGGAAAATGAGGATTTGCATCTGGGAACCCAGAGGCCAGATTCTCAACCTCTACACCATAGCTGTCAGTGTGGCCTCGGGTATACTTCATTCACCCATTCATTCATTCATTCATTCAACACATATTTATCATCTACTATGTGCCAGACACTGTTCTAGGTGCTCGGAGAAGACAAAGTCCCTGCTTTTCATGGCACCTACATTCTAGAAGGAGAGACAGCTAATAGACAAGAAAACAATCAAACCAGATGACTTCAGATGGTGGTAAGTGCTTTGAAGAAATAAGCAAGGACACTAGTCAGGGGAAGGGAGCTAGGGGTGCTTCTTCAGACAAGGAGGCTCCAGAGATCTGCATTCCTGAGGTGACATTTGAGCAGAGATCTGACAGGAGGAAGAAGAAGCTGCCATAAGAAGATCAAAGAGACATATAGTCCAGGCAAAGAGAACAGCTGGTGCAAAGGCCCTGAGGCAGTAACTGTATGTTGGAGGAATGGAAAAGCAGCAAGGGTAGCTGGAGTTGGACAGGTTAAGGGAGAGTCGTAGGTGATGAGGGTCTAGAAAGGTGGGCTGGGATGGAATCACCAGGCCTTACCAGGCACCACATTAAAGCCTGGAGTTTAGTCTGAGCACAATGGGAAACCACTGGGAAGTTTTAATTTAAGAAGGGGAGCCATATGATCTGTTTTATCATTTAGAAGGATGCATATTTCCCAATCTGTAAACCAGAACCCCTTTGTCTCCTGCCTGGCTCCAACTGTCCTCCCGTGATGTCCATACAGCAGGCCACCATTTACAAAGTACAACAAAGTTACAAATGCGGTCCCTTCTGAGCCTCCCAGCCATGTTGGTGGATACAAGTTCATAAAGCATCATTTGTGCAAGGGACAGGGAAGGCCTTTTAGTCAGAGGGGCCAGTTATGACACTTCTAAAAAAGATGCTTAGAGAGTCTCCTTTAACACCCAGCAAAGATCCAAGATAGATGAATCTCATCTGTAGGGAAACCAAGGTCAGCATCTTAAATGTGATGGATTGTGCTAGAATAAGAGGAAGATAAATGGAAGCCAACTAGAAAAATACTTGAATGGCTATCATTGAAAGGCTGAAGTTGAGCTGACAACAGCACTATTAATAATGAGCAAGAAAATAATTGGCATCGAACGGAACTTGACTTCTGTTTTCTGATTCCTGAGCAAGTTCCCAGGGTTTGGATCTCTTTAGATGTCTGTCTTCTTCTTTTTCTCCTTCTAGATGTAGAGAACAATCCAATCAGAAGGGCCCAATGCCCAAATCTACACTCATGGTTTACTGTAAATCCTTGTAACAAAACTTCTATTCTCAAATTGAAACAGAGGAAACGCTGCTTATAAAACTCACAGCAGGGTCTTGTGTTTTGTTAAAGGGCAAATGTAAGATGGGAATGCTATAAGGAAGCGCGCCTAGGTGCTGGTAACTTTTCTGTCTCGACTGGGTGGCAGTTGTACATGTTTATGTAAAAATTCACAGAGTTTACACGTCACTGTAAGTTTCACTCAGTAAAAAAGGACAAAGATTGTAACACTTGGCTGGCTACCATTTTTTGTGCCTTTCTACGTACCAGGCGGTGTGGTAGGCACGTCACAAATTTTTCTCTCAACTGATCCCACCACCACCCTCGTCCCATTTTACTGCTGGAGAATCGGAGGCTCAGAGAAGGCAAGCCACTTACCAAAGATCACACAGCAATAAACAGCCCAGGCAGAATTCTTTTCCAAGTCTGTCTAACTGAAAAGCCTGAAATGTCTGGGAGGCAGGCACCTCGTGGCAGAATGGTAGGGCTGGCGGGGCTCTCACACTCTTTTTCAGTTAACAGATAAGGGATCCCTAGAGCAGTATCGGGAAGGCACCACACGGTCGGGACTCCCACTCTGATGCTTCTTTGGGAGAGGGCACGCGCCCTCGGAATTGGGCGAGGATGGGTTGCAGAAGGGAGACCAGGAGAAAGAGAGATCCGCTTTCCCCCAAAGCCAGGAGCGCCCGGCGCGGGCAGGTGGCGAGGGGCTGGGCCCGCTCCAAGCCCCGGGCAGCTCGCCCGCCGGCCGCCGGGAGCGCGGTCCCCGCCGCCCTACCTGGGTGGATGAAGGGCTGCCTGCTGCGCCTGCCTGGCGGGAGCGCACTGGCGCTGGACTCGCTCATGGCTACGCCCCGCGCCCCCGACAGGCCGCCGGAGACCCGCTCCGAACGCCGCCGCCGCCGCCGCCAGCTCCCGGAGCCGAAATTCCAGGTTCCGGCGCGGACGTCACAGAGGCCGGGGCGGGGCGCGGCGCCGAGGCGGCCCTTTCCCCGCGCGCCGCCGCCGGACCCCCGGGGGCCCAGGCGCGGGGTGGGAGTGCGGCGGGCGGTGGGAGCAGGGATCCGAGACACGGCGGAGCCGCAGGCCCCGGAAGGCTCCACCCAGCGGCCGAGAGAAGGGGCGACCTCCCGGATGTCTTACTAAATTTAAGAAGGGTTATTAATAAAAATAACCGGGACTCTGAACAAGTGTATCTAGTAAGTTACCATTTGGGTCCAAAAAGTTGGGTGGGGGGAGAGTATTTGTACAGGTTTGTAAATGCGGGTGGGGAGCTGGGAGGCTCAGTGCGGTGCAAGGGAGGATGTCACCACCTAATGAGTTTGTGTTATAAATTTCACACCATATCCATGTTTCATCACCAGACGTCTATCATGGCCAGTTTCAAACAAAGTTAAAAGTAATTGCCAAGTATAAATAAATGTAAAATGATTAAGTAAATGTAGTTCTATGTGCATTTGTATATGAGTAATTGCCAAATTAAATAAATAAATGAGGAAGTGTAGATAAATCTCCTGTGCAGCATTCCGGATAATTTATATAGAGATACTTCAAGGAGGTGGAGCCGAACTCTCCACTCTAAATGGGGGCTGCACACTGTGATTTCCTCCCAAACAGGGCAGTATGGGTGGGAGGGCAAGTAACTTTACCTGAGAAATGCTTGGCAAACACTTTCTCAGACAGACTTTCAAGGTCAACACCCACAGTGATAAGTCACGTTGATGGTATGCACTCCTGGTATGATGTGATGAGAATTACACTACCTGTGGGGTCTCTGTCCCCAAAACCTGTCACCCTAGTCCAATCATAAGAAAACATCGGACAGACTCCACACGTGAGACATTCTAACAGGATACCTGGTTACTACTCCCCCAAATTGTCAAGTTCATCAAAAAACAGAGTGAGTCTGAGAAACTGTGAACAGCTAAGAAGAGCCTAGGGAGACATGACCCCTGTAAGTGTAGCAGGGATGGGGAAGGGTAGGGATGTGGAACCAAAAAAAGGAGCACCTACTGGGGCGCCTGGGTGGCTCAGGGTCCTGGGATCAAGCCCTACATCGGCTCCCTGCTCAGCGGGAAGCCTGCTTTTCCCTCTCCCACTCCCCCTGCTTGTGTTCCTTCTCTCACTGTGTCTCTCTCTGTCAAATAAATAAATAAAATCTTAAAAAAAAAAAGGAGCACCTAATCAAATCTGAATAAAGGATGGACTTTAGATAATAAGAATGTGTCAGTATTGGTTCATCTATTGTGAAAAATGTATCATAGTGAGGTAAGATAGTAGTAATCAGAAACTGAGTCTGGGGTGTATGGAAACTATGTACTATTCTCTCTGTACCATTCTCTGTATGGAAACTCTGTACTCCCTGGGCTATTTTCTGTAACTCCAAAACAGAAAATTTATTTATTTTTTTTACAGTAATTGCTTGGCTCAAAATAAAGACTATTTTTATTGTAGTTAAGGGTGGGGTCACTGGGTTTCCCTTTTGAACCTAGTTTCCTATTACTCCCTGAGTGAGCTGGACCACGTGCCTCTACCTCTCTGAGCCTCTGTTTTTTTCACCTGTAAAATAAGGATATATTACTAGGTCCTGGTCTGTAGTGAGATTACTCACCTGAAATGCCTGGCAGAACATTTGGGGGAGCAGGGGGAATGCTAATCTCGATGCCAATATCATACCTACACAAAAGAAAATCCAAACAAAGATATAAATGCTTTTTTAAAGATTTTATTTATTTATTTGAGAGAGATATAAATGAAAAAGTAAAACCATAGAGGTACTAAAAAAAGAAAAAGGAAGTTTTTTTTTTTAAAGTATCACCAAGGATGCCTGGATGGCCCAGTGGGTTAAGCATCTGCCTTTAGCTCAAGTCATGATCTCAGGGTCATGGGATCGAGTCCTGCATTGGGCTCCTTGCTCAGCGGGGAGCCTGCTTCTCCCTCTGTCTGCCGCTCCCCCTGCTTGTGCTCTCTCTCTCTCTGACAAATAAATAAAATCTTTTTAAAAAGGGAGGGGTGCCTCGGTGGCTCAGTCGCTTAAGCGTCTGCTTCGGCTCAGGTCATGATCCCAGGGTCCTGGGATCGAGTCCCTTGTGGGGCCCACTGCTCAGCGGGGAGTCTGCTTCTCCCTCTCCCTCTCTTGCTCTCTCTCTGTCAAATAAATAAAAATCTTTTTTTTTTTTTAAATGTATCACTGAGGGGAAGCCCTTACTGAGTTTGACCCAAACCCAGAAGCCAAAGAAGCATGATAAATCCAACTACATACAAATTTAAAATTCTGTACCACGAGCAATGACGTATGTACAAGGATGTTCTTTGCAATGTTGTTTATAATAGCAAAAGACAGGAAGCAGTCTAAATCTCTGTATGTAGGAGGCTGGTTAAATAAATTTTGACACCTACGTCCAGCTATCATATAGCTCTATAAACAGACGTATAGGAAATTCTGCATAGAGAAGTATATAATTGACAAAAGCAAGATGTAGAAGAAGTGTATTAGGGAAGCTACCATTTGGGTAAAAAAAGTTTATGTCTGTAAATGCATAGACTATCTCTAAACAAGAGTGGGGGGTATTTAGTGATTATCCTTTTTTTTTTTTTGTACTGCATAGCTGTATTACCTACATGTACGTGTTTGTATTTTTTTAAATTACCTTTAAAGTTTGTGGAGTGTTGACAAATGATGGCTATTTCTATCATGAGGCAGTGCCTCCCTCATCCCCTCATCCCCTTGCTCATCAGAGGCCACCTCCCAGTCCCCAGTCCCAGCCTACAGATCCAGACGGGTTGGCAGAACCCAATGGCGTAAAGGGAATGGGGTGACCTTAGAGAAGATGCTCAGAACCCCAGGTGCGAATCTCCTTCCTGCTAGTCTCACCTGGCACCTGGCCCTGGTTTGGGTCTGCATCCTGGGCTAGGTGGGACCTTAGATTCTCTCCATGGTAAGGGAATGAACCGAGGCTCCTGAAGGAGACTCCTTCCTCCCAGCAGAGGACTAATTTTACAGGAGTAGAAATAGGGTGGTTCTGGGGCACCTGGGTGGCTCAGTCTGTTAAGCATCTGCCTTCACCTCCAGGTCATGGTCCCAGGGGCTCCCTGCTCAGCAGGGAGTCTGCTTCTCCCTCTCCCTCTGCTTCTCCCCACCTCCTGCTTGTGCTCTCTCTCGCTCACTCTCTCTCTCAAACAAATGAAATCTTAAAAAAAAAAAAGAAAGAAATAGGGTAGTTCTTTGGGAAAAGATCATAAAAATCTCCTGTTGGAAAGAAGTAAAAGAGGAAGAAGGCTGGCAGCCGGACAAGTAAATTCAGACAGAAGGATGCCCAGTATGACAGAAAACAGAACAAGAATGAAATCCTTGATTCCCTTAATTGCTTTTATTTCAAGGGAAGGCACATGTCTTCCAACAGCGCCCCCATCTCCTTTCTCAGTTTTAGCACTTTATTTTTACTACTTTTTTAAATCTATTTTCCACACTAGAATGTAGTGAGGCTCCGTGAGGGCTCTTTTTTATTATTAGGGGAATAATAATGGTAATAACAACAACAACAACAACAGCTACTGCTTATTGAAGAATTACTTTGTACCAACCCTTTATCATGCATTACTTCACTTAACCTTCGTCATTCTTAAGAAGACAATGGGAGCCTCTAAACCCCATTTTATGGAGAAAAGAGCCCTGTTTTTCCCTAAGAGGCAGAGTGGAATCACTTCTGTTTCCTCCTTCCCACCATCCCCCAGCAGATCTTCTACCCCAAGCACCACTGCTTCCCCCAAGGCAAGGACTGCTTCCTGACTATCTGCCTGCCTTGTCCAAACATTGTCCACACAGCAGTCAAAGCCACCTTCTCAAAAAGGAAGTTGATCTTGTCATTTTCCTGCTTAAACACCCCCTCCTCCATTGGTTTCCTCTTGCCACTTAGAATACACACTCACCCTCCTTGTGGTGTGTGAACCAGGCTTTGCAGGATCCCCCCCAACCCCATCTCCTACCATCGCCACTGTGGCTGGCCTCCTTTCTGCCCCTTGAACACACCTAGCATGTTCTTGCCGGTGGGCTCCGTGTTTGCTGTTTCTTTATCCTTGGAACCTGCATCTCACACTTGCCCTGATTTTGTCTGCTTCTCCCTTCCCGTGGTGAAAGATGGTCACATCGCAGCTCCAAGTTTTCATAAACTCTGCAAGGACTGAGTGGAAGTCTGTGAGTCATAATTCCCAAATCCTGGGTGGGGAGAGTCTGATATACTTAAACTGATATACTTGACTTAAATCAAGAGTAAATTCCTGGCTCCATCAACTGTGTTCTTCATGTAGGTTGTCCTGGTACAAACAGGGTTCCCTGTGTTAGGAGTTAGATGGACAGTTAGGTAGTCAGGGCCAGGGTCCCCAACAAGAATATATGGAGTCAGGACAGCTAAAATAAAACAGCACTAATATCCTGCTTTGCAGCTTAGACAGGACCGCACTAGCATTCTGCTTTGCAGCCTTTGCAGAAATGACTTCCATAAAACGTCCTAAAATAAGGCAATTAACCACAAAGCATTTGTCAATATCACGGGCAAGGGGCAGTTAAGACATAAGCCCCTAGATGTCAGCAAAAAAAGACCATCAGCATGTTGACATTAACCTAGTAGGTAGACAGATACGTGACCAAAGCCCTGATTGGCACAACTCAGCACACCGTGATTGCTTAAGGTAGTTCCATTGAAGAGCTCATAAAAACCCCTAAACTTAGAAACTCCGGGGGCAACCCTCTGGCCCCCCCCACCCCTGGGAGCTTTATGCAATTACTCAATAAACTTTGCTTTTCTGCCCACCACTCTTTGTCTGGTCTCCCTCTTCATTCTTTGAAGTGGGGTGACCAAGAGCCGTGGGCCACT